CCATGTTTGTATTACGCTATTAAATGACAGTGCAGTGGTTTTCTTTTCAGTTACATGAAATATTTAACTTCATCTGTGTCACTTACATGGAGTTTATATTTAAAGACAACATTTGCTGGTTCTACGGGTATACTTTCTGCTAGTATATATAATAAAAACTATCGACTGTATATATACTTGACGTCTTGAATCATCACTATACTTGCTGGTTATGAAAAAACCTCCCCTACACGAGTTTTCTATGACATGTTAGCCTTGCTATATACATTTAGTGTTATATAGAAGGAGTACCGGTAAGTATCAGAACGGTTGAGAAAAACATGTGAAATCCTCGCTTTAATAAAGATTAAAAGCTGATGCGACGAAGGACAGGCGAGTAAATTTAGTGCGTTTGTCCGAAAAGTCCACGTCATTTTGCTTAGGCCACCATTTTTTATTTTGTTGGTTTACAGAATTTTTGTTGTTGTTGTTGACTCGGTAAGGTAAAAAAAAAATTGTCGTTTTGTCAGATCAAACAAGTCGGAATACAGTGATACTGTTATACATGATATTTAAGTATTTTAAGAAAACTAAATAAAAACAAAACTCTACTTGTAATTATTTTTACTTTTATTATAAACTGTTTGTTTATGAAATGTTTTTGTTTTTTACATTAAAATTTTTTTTACTCATATTTCTTAGGGAAAAGGTCGGCGGGAATAAAAAAAATTATTTTTTTAAATCAATTTTTATTTTTTTTCGTTTTTCTTGAAAATTTGGGTCGGCGGATCTGTAAACCAACAAAATAAAAAATTCTCGCCTTAACAGTCTAGTCTGGCTATATCGAATAATCATGATAGAAAGAGAAGGCCAAAATAGTCGTGAACTTGCAGCGTGTGATGTGTATAGTTAAAAAAAAGTATATGCTTTTTGAGCTGTAAACACACGGCAGAGGAGCTGGAAGTACGGCAAGTATAGCTGGATCGATAATTCAGGGCCGGGATAAGTTGGGAAGCGAGAAGAAATGTTGCGTGCGACAAAGTACGCAATTCGTTCATTCGCGACCGTCTGTATTTAGATGAAAAATTCCAAATGCCTCCATCTTTGGCCACAATAAAAAGAGAGACGTGTCTAAATCACCTATAGCAACAGAATTTGGCAGCCCTACACGGAAATCGTGCAAAATATAACTGCAAAAGGCAATATATTATGTGTGTTCGTTTGCTGATGGAATCGACGCACCAAAATAAAACTGGGAATTAGTTGCCATAGTTTACGACGGGGCCCTAGTAGCCTGGAAGTCACACGGGAGCAAACTCGCGTCGATTGTACTATTCTACAGTCGCGCGAAACAACGAAATGAAGAATCACATCACCTCGGAGCTGTACGTGAAATAAGTACACGACGAGGCAACGGTGGATGGCACGCGCATTATCCTATCCCATAATTGGCTCATCTCCTCACGATGTGGCGAACAAAAAATTACTCTTAGCAAAAACAGTGAGGAATGGACTCGCAGCACGCCAAGGAAGTAGCAAGAATTAAGTGAGAGCACTGACGTGATTGCGAAGGGGAAAGCATAATAATGAAAGCGTCAATGACACTATATAGCTCACCTTGGGTGTGATAGAAGAGGGAGATGATATTTAAAATTTGGCAAGTGTTTCATTTATGATGGACCAAAATGGGATCAAATGTCCTTATTCCCTGTTTTATACTAATAGAAATTTCACTGTTTTGTTTCAGGGTTAGTTTTGACGCCAAAATAAATGTTTCAGATCTGAAAGTCTGAGATCTGGCCAAAGAGATGGCGCTACGCCTAAATGATCGCCATTTTGGTTTTCGATTATCGCGCAAATAAAAGCAATAAAATATTCCAGTCAAATTACTGTAACGAAGAATATTACACGTAGGTATGATTAGGTAGGTATAGGCAGGTAGGCCATTTTCATTAAAGACCATTTCAATGGCTAGATGGCCATTTTCATTTTTGCCAAAAAATGAGCGTGGCTCGAAAGTAGGTCGACTGGCGTGATCCAAAATAGGACGTTCAAATCTCTCCCAGAGGAGTAACAACTGTATGCAATTTGAAACATGTGGGTCAAATGGTTCTCAAGTTATCGTTGACCGTAGCCAAATGTTGACGGACGGACGGACGGACGACGGACGACGACCCATGGCAATAGATCATCATGACAATGTCAAAGCGAGCTAAAAATCACCTGAAAGGAGGACTCACTGCTATAATAGAGGGCTGATAATATGTTGTGAATGGCACGCACGAAGAGACGTGCACGTCGGGAAACAACGAACGGAAACACGAGCGGGGACAGAAAAACAGCGGGGACAGTCAGCGAGACGTAGGTGCGCAAATTTAAAGTGGCCCGCACAGCCGAAAATAGCGCGTGAGGAGAGAGAAAGCGAGCGAGAGAGAGAGAAAAAGAGGGAGAGAAGACAGTGAAAGACAGCGATAGAGAAACAGAAATAGAAAGAGAGGGAAAGGTTGGAGGAGTGGAAGAGAAACAACGAGAGCGATAGACAGACGGGGCATGGAAGGGCAGAAGAGGCAAAAGAGGGGAGACAATTAAATGAGCAAAGCGAAATACGTAACTGACATAAAGTAAATCAGCACAAGAACACGGGGCATAAATTGCCGTCCCCAGTGACACACCACCCGATAATTGTGCGATTCAACTTACTAAAAATTAAAATGAGTTGAATGAATCGTGCGTGGAAAATGTTTCCTAACATCAGATGACCGCGGTGATTAAAGGGACGCATACATTGCAATATACTATCAAGAGCTAGGTATTATTAGCTCTTGATACTATTCATTCACACTGCATAAAAGCATACAAAGACTGGAACTCTAAGACTTGCAAGGTGATAACCGATTTTGGTGACAGGCGACTCACCGATCGATACAAGCCGTGAAGTTATTAAAAAGCACCTCAGAGCAGAAGTGCTTATCAAGAGATTACTGCTGCTACGGCTGCTGCTGCTGCTGCTACATGTTTTTATTTTGTGCATTGTTTTTGCTTTACATTTTTACCAAAATCTAATGAGGCAGCTGCCCTCACCCATGTAGGCTATTGCACCGAGTGCTTCTGCTTACCTTCTTGCTACTGCTCTTTTAGTTACGGCTACTACTATTGCTACTGCTATTACTATTCCTACTGCTGTTGTTCTTTCAGCTGTTAATCCCACTACAACTATGTATTCTGCTACTGTCGCTGCAGCCCCGGCTACCACTACTGATTCAACTAACGCAAAATTAATCACATAATTAGTAGTAATTAATTACACTGTACTACTATTGCAGCTATATTACTCCCTTTGCAATCTCCACCGCTAGGGCAAGCAGCATATACTAGTCACGCAGGCATAAACTGTTGGTATATCATATAGGCTATTACATAAGTATAATTAGTTGCTGCAACATTTCAGGGCAAATAATAAAAAACAACTCACCTTCTCACCCCACGACTCTCCCCAGCTATTCTTGATGATCCAGTATGATATCCCATCCTCTGAAAATGGAATACAATGCAGTTTATTTCACGTGCCACTATAAACATGATCAGGAAACTGTCGCAGTGGAAATATTCATTGTCATTTCTTCAGCACTGCTGAATTTAAGCCTAGTCCATTACTGGGTTTTTATGTATGACAACTTCAGGGCGTCAAGTGACAATACAAGTGACGCTCAAAAAATAGGAAAGTAGGAATTTCAGATGTGAAAAAATAGGAGGAAAATAGGAATTTTGGTGTGAAAATATATGTTAAATAGGAATATTTTTTTGCGTTAGATGGCCTCCCAACACCGGGCCCCTACAGCCATCCCGATCCACCACAAATGGTTTTATTAATATACATATTTGGAGTTACATCACATGCTAATAATATTTTGAGGTTTTAATGAGAAATGCATGTTAAAATTGATTAGCAGTTTATACATACATAAACACCCATTTAAAGTACATAGGTAGTTCAGGGCCGTAGTGGCCTCCCAAAATGTGCTACTGCAGAAAAATGTAGGATCACCCAGTGGTAATATCAAGAGTGGCGGTTCTGGTGTGTGCTGCAGGCATGCATAGCTAACGCCGCGATCGCGAAGCCGATGTGGGGGGTCGGGGGGTACTCCCCCCAGAAAATTTGTGAAATTTAGAGCATGGAAATGGCATTTCCTGCATTTTCAGGCTATATGTTGAAAGCAACCAATTCTGATCATTTTAAAAGGTCAATTTGTAAATTTCAAAGTGGAATGTAGCTAAAGCTGATGTTTTGACTAAAGTATCTAAAATAAATATTATGAGTATGATAACTAATAAAACATTGTTTACAAAATTGTATATACTATCAGTACATAATTATGAAAAAGAATATAGTTTTTAATATTTCCGTTCCAGTGCATCGTACTTCAGAATACGTTGAAGACGGGCCGTGAAGGCATGCATGCAACGTGTGTGTTTTGTGTGTGTTTGTGTGTGTGCGTGCGTGCGTACGTGCGTGCGTGTATTGTCTGTGTGTGTGTGTGTGTGTGTGTGTGCGCGCGTGTGCGTGTGCGTGCGTTCATCTCTCTCCGGGTCATGTTTTTCATTCCTCTACATAATACAACAATTATTGGTTCAAGTGCTATGTACAGCATAGATTTTAAAGCAAATCACTGTTCCGGAGAACCCCTCTTTTAAACGTGTCCAGTTTCATAGCATTGGATTTCAACGAAATCCTAGTTCCGGAGATCCCCATTTTCGAACATAGCCAGCAGTTCCAGAGCATACAACATTCAACAAACATTAGTTCCAGAGACCCCCATTTTCAGGTCTGAGTTAGTTCCAGAGCCCCCCCCCCCCATTTTTGACTTCGCAGTGGCACACACCTACTATAATGTGGGGTGAGTGCCCCCCTGGGGTTTCATCTCCTTGGTATATGTTGTTCCTTAGTTCCCTGCACAATTTTTTTTGTCAAAATAGTGTCACGGCAGTGCCGTGCTGCCGTGGCGGCCACTACGGCCCTGTAGGTGCATATGGATGTACTTTCTTTAATTATGTTTATAAATCTATGACGTATGACGTATAACATACCACATCCATGATCCAACTGAGAAGACAACTTACTGAAATAAAAATCTGTGGATAGTAAAGAGTATATTACGTTATATTAAAGTAAGCGGCGTCGGGTCTGGGGGACCTCGCCTATGAAATTTTGAAATCGGTCACCTGAAATGCTAAATTCCTGCATTCTGGAAGGTATGCATACAATCTGGATCAAGAAAAATGAAACCAGCCGCCTCAAAAATAGGCAAAAAAATAAGAATTTGTCCAGAAAATAGGAGAAAATAGGAATTGCCCAGAAAATAGGAAAAATAGGAAAAATAGGAACTTGACGCCCTGCAACTTACTTCCTTGAATTATTCTAAGAATAATTCATTTTGCCGTACGTGGTAAAATTTGTAACAATGTACAGATTATGACTTCATACCCCTAAAGTTTCCATAAATAACAAGAAAATGTCTTCGAGATTTTAGTCTATAAGCATCAATAGTATATTGCATTGATTATGCTACGTACAGTATTATCCCACGTTATAAAAAGTCAGGGTATGGAAATTATGGAATCATTTGATTACTCATACGGGATCAGTAAATTGTTACTACTATGAAAGGAAAATGTGTTCTTAGAACTATTTTTTTAACTAGAAAGGGCAGTTGTCGCCAACTACATGTATCCCCCGTGTTCTCCCCAAGATGTGTACCGAAGTATAACGAAGTTTGGTCGCACTAGGCAATGAGCGGGCCGAGTTATAGAGCAGTAAAGAAAAATATAATGAAGGTCAAGGGTCAATGGTCAAAGGTTCAATATAAAGTTGCAGGTGACCTGTTTCGTACGCTGCTCAACTCTCCCAAGATGTGCTAAGATATACCAAGTTTTGGCGTCGCAACACCCTCCATTCGCACCCTTCCTCTACGTCCATACTCTCACCACCACCCCCCCGGCGCCCTCGCCTCGCCCCTACTCCCCTCCTGACCCCCGTCTCTCCTCCTACCTTCCCATATACATCTCGCTCCGCCCGTGCGATACGCCACAATACTGCACCACGTCCCATACCCCTACTCCTCAACCTACCCGCTCTCCCCCTCGTCCCTCTCCCTCACTCACATAACTCATATCGATAACCACCCCCCCGCCTTCTGCCACCTCCACTTGTTTTGCTCTCGCTCTACCGCCCGTAATACACACCATCTCTCCTCACATCATGATCGTGGTCAGTATATTAAGTTTTCGTGCCGGCTAGCGCTCAATTAGGGCGTCAGTTATAAAGCGGAGGGAAATTTCTCTGCGGCGCGGCACGAGCGGCGGCGGCGGCTGGGGAGCACTGAAACCCATGTATCCCGACCGACTCCTCGCGGGATTACAAAATAATTGAGCATACTTTTCTATGCAAAAATGGGATGTGCTTCAATCACAATCATTAAATGAAAGCTAATACACTATACAGCCAGCTCACACAAGCCTCGGTCGTCCCAGGGGCATTACCCATTAAGAGTGTGTCGTAACAAGGAGAGGAAACACTTACAGCTTGCCATGGCTTGTATGTAATAGGTTTTCGATAAATCAGTTGCCTGTGCTCCAGCTTCAGCGGAAGTACATGCGCAGTATTGTTCATTGTGAAACTCCCTTTTCTCTCCAGAATTATCATACTACAGCTCTACCTAATTAAATGATTACGCCGAAAAAAGACGTTTGTATTCCGCTAACCGACCGACTCCATTTTTAAACCGCCGCTGCTCGAAAACTTTTTATTGTGATCGGCAAATAAAAATAAAAAATAATTTTTAAAAAAATGAAAAAAATCCCAACAGTGATATCGATCGGTGAATGCATTGATTTGACTTTGAAGTCATATATGGGCTGTTATAAATATAAAACAAGTATTGTTAGAATATAAAAAAAAATATTTGATAAGTTTTTGCCCGCCTACCGTGTCCAATTTTTTTCAGCTTGGAACGGAAAACAAACATTTTTTGTTCTTAGGCCTTGCGTGTATTTGTGTATGTAGCTGCATTGTATTGGCTAGGGGAGACCGAGGTATACGTACTTGTTTTCGCCAAAAAACATGTTCCGTAGGAACGCATCTCTGATTTACATAATACTAATAGCAGAAGTAATATGTATGGAATCAGGGGGGGCCGCGTCCCTAGCTTATTATCTACTTCTGAAATAGGAATCAGTGGGAAACGTGATGACGTTACATAATTTTTCGTCCATCGCTTGCCTAAAGTAAGTAAGTATTATTGCAGTTCTAATGTTGACCATGTGGCATTCAATATGCAATAAAACATCTTTATAAAGCATTCAAGTCTTATAAACATTATTAATCGATTTTCAAAATCATTTCTTTGTGAACCACACATGATATGTCACCATCGATATAGGCGTGCGATGCTCCCATAGGTAGGACTGTTTGTGATTTTATACAACTCTATTAGACTTCAACAATTTGTTGGACTGTGGTAGCAGATCTAGACGATTCCATAAAACCATTCAACATGCAGGCACACGCACACACACTAGGCAAGCTGTTACCGTGTTGCATGACGATCGACATTCAATTTCTGCACACCTTTTCAACTAGCTACATAATGAAAGTGTCAATGACACTGTAGCTCACTACAAAAAAGGACACATTGAGTGAGTAAGAAGAAGTCAGTTTTAATTGAGCAAACCTCGACGTAATCTATAGAAACGATTGCCGTCTGTATATCGCCGAATAATAATTTATAAACCAAAATGAATCACATTCTGTGACCGTAGATGGCGCTATAACCGCTTTGTAAGCGGATGGCGTTTGAAATAAATGGGTGTTGCTATCCCCGGGCGCGTTTATTTTTTCCGTTACCGTTAACGCTGTCAGCGCTCGGGAGCGTATTGGGAATGCTTGGTCACAGCTCAACAGTCCCCCTAACACTATGTACTCGACTACTCAACAAATAATTGAAATATGTGTTTACCACAGGCCTTCTATCGCTAGCAAAGACCGTTTCTTGGAGCTAGTAGTGATACGCTTTCATACTTAACGAGACAAAGATGGTGGCGGTTGGCGCCGATTCGAAATAACGCCTTGGGAAATAAATTCATGATTTGAGAGTTTTAGATGAGCTAGAACCCTAACCCTAACCCTAACCCTAACCCTAACCTAACCTAACTTTAACCCTAACCTAACCCTAACCCTAACCCTAACCCTAACCAGTAATGCGATTCCAATACGCATAGCGAGCGCTGACGCTCGTTAACGGTACGGTAAAAATTATCGCCCGCCCGGGCGTGGAGGGAGGTCACGTGATAACGTTGACGATGACGTTCAAATCGTTAACGCGCTAACGTTTAACCCTCACTCCAACACCGCCAACACTAATCTTCACACTAAATATATATGTGTCGCCGCGCTATAGTATTAGGCAGTGTTATCCACAAAAAATTAATCTATATGGTGTGGGGACAGATATCATGATGCACAAACCCTAACCCTA